TTTGGGTTGACCTGTCAATCCAATTTTGACATGTCTACCCAAATCATACCTATCAACTTGAACTTGACCTAAAATTTGGGTTGACCTGTCAATCCAATTTTGACATGTCCACCCAAATCAGACCTATCAACTTGAAATTTTGAACTCGAACTTGAGTTGAAATTGACTTGAATATTATATGAATAGCTGTTATGCATATGTTAAATGGGTTGCAAGGATCTGCTTTGGATCAGCCGGGTTGAAGGCGGCCTGACTTAAGTTCGACTTTGACTCATTGAATATTCGAGCCAAGTTCAGACAATTTTGACCTCTGAACCGAATTCGACACCCCGATGATAGAATCATACTATTATAAATTAGTGTATCAATCAATGTTCCTTCTTGTTCTAAGAAATTACTCTCAAACTCATAACAAATTGGTAGGAAATAAATGAAAAATTCTTAGAAGTTGAGCTCAAGTACTCCCCTTCACCCAAAAAAAAAAAAATAAAAAAAATAAAAAAAAAATAAAAAAAAATAAAAAAAATACCGACAACGTTCTTCTAATCTTTCTTTTGATAGTATTAAAATTGTAATTAAAGGTTCTATTTAATCTTATTTTTCATAAAATTGTGATTTGATATTTAATCGCATCATCAACTATCATTTATTTTAAAAAATAATATAATGACATAATATAAAAGTGTATTAAAAAGACTATATTTAAAAATAGGTTATCCAAATGTAATATTTAGTTTTATTTTAAGAAGTTATTATAGCACAAATTTATTATAATGGTGTTGTTTTGTCTATCATGTTTTATATTATAAGTTAAAACTTAACCTATAATTATGACACATAAAAGTGATTTAACTCGGTGTTGATCAAATTATTTTCTTATAAAAAATTTTAATAGTTTGGATATTAATGAAATCGATGTCATTGAATGTCAATTTAGGGTCTATTTGAGGCAGTTGCATTTTATTAATAAGTTGTTGTGTAGCAGATTCTCTAGAAAGCTGTTTCACAGAAGATGTGGATAAGTTGGCTGACGGTTTTGTTTATTGTTGTTTGAAAACAGCTGCACCACAACTATTTTTGAACAAATTTATATATAATGTATTGCTTACTATTAAATTTCTTGATGGATATTCCACTACACTTATAAATAACAATTTTAATTAAATATAATATTATAATAAAATTCGAAGCATCAACTACCATTACATGATATACACAATCCATGCCTCCATGATACATACAAAATCATACAAATATCCATCCAACATACAACCATGAGTTCACTCAATAGCAACCAAACCAAATCCTACGATATGGAGCATGCATTGGGATTCTCATCACTGAACATCTGCGGCGGCGGCGGCAACAGCTGCGGTCGATCGTAGACAACCATGGTCGTTGGCATGGCCACGGCGGGCATGCCCATGGGCATCCAATCATGCACCATCGTCATCATCCTCTTCGACATCTCATCATCATGATACACATTCATCATATTATAACCACCCCCACCATTCCAATACATCATCCTCTTCACCATCTCCTCGTAGCCGTTCATGGCTTTCGGCGCCTCTTCGGGGATGCTTTTCTTCTCATTGTTCTCTTTTTTCTCCTCAGGAAGCTTCTCAGTATTATCTGCTTTTGTTTCTCCGTTTTCTTTTTTCTCTTCCGGCGCCATCGGCGGCGGCGGAGGTGACGGAGGAATGATGGTGGCGATCTTACCAGTTCGCCGGTGAATGTAATCGACCAATTTAGCTGCGTTTATGGTTCCGGTTACGGTTACTTTCTTGGCGTTCTGGTCTGTTTCGGCTGCTTGTACTCCTGAGAAACCCAATTAAAAGGAATATTTACATGCATACCCTGCGATTCTTATGTATTTGCATGGCTAGTACTTATATTTTCATTATGAGATTTGTAACATTTTGGTGACAAATTTATATATCAATAATTAAAAGATACTGAAAGTTTATTTATAAAAAATATATCATAAAAAATATTAAATAATTAATAAATTAATCAAATGATCCCTAAAAATTATTTTCACATAAGAATTCAACATCATATGCCCATGTTTAGGGTTGTTAAAGATCCGATTTCAAACTGAGCGAGGGTCGGATTGAAATCTGCTCGGATTTTTTTTTCAAAATTTGGCTTATAGCTCGACTCATTTATTCTGATATGTTCTCAATCCGAGTCAAAATTCAAATAAATTTTCAAGCGATTAACACTTTTCAAGCTAAATTTGCTAAATTCACAATCCTAACATCACTAAGACTATTAATGATCTGATTTCGAGCCGAGTTGGAGTCAGCTCAAAATCGGCTCGAAAAAAATTCGATCTAAAATTTTCGCTCATAGTTCGGCTTGTTTATTTTCATCGATCTAAAATTCAAATCAATATTCGAGTGATTAGCGAATGAATGAAGGATCTTCAAGCCAAATTCACAGATCTAGATATAGTCATGCTTTAATTACCTCCCATCTTCATAATCTTTTTCCGAAGCTGTTGAGCACAAGCCTCGCAGTGCATGTTAACTAGCAGCTCAACCGTAGCAATCCCACAAGTCTGTTCCTTTAATAAACAAAACCAAAGTATTAAATAACAATTAATGCATAAATTATTCCTTAATTAACATATTTAAATCAATTAATTAGCACAATTGCAATTAAATACCTGAGGTGGTGGTGGTGGTGATGGTGTTTGGGTTTTGGTGGAATCAGCAGCATCCGGAAGGGGGAGTGGGGAGAGGACTTCAGCCTTTCTTGATGTCTTCTTCTGAATGAGAGCACATAGAGCTTGTGGATCCACTTTTCCTTTCACTATCACCTCATTCTTTTCTATCTTCGTCTCTACCTCTTCAACCCCTGAATATTTATTTATTTATTTATTATTATGGATTGTAAATAGTGAAGATTTTGGAAGAATAAAAGAAAGAAAAATCATTTGCATGAATGCCACTAAATTTCTATGTATTAATGTATCTGACATTTCATTTTTGTTTGCGATAGTTGTTTTTTAAAAATGTGAATGTAAAGTTGAGGTGGAGAAAGTTATGGTGATGATTATAAATATATATTTTTTTTTCAAAAAAATAGACAGTTACTTTCTTATAGTCACCATATTTTAACAGATCAGGTTAAAAAAAAAAGAGTTAGTCATCACAGAAATTTTTAGAAAGTAGCATGAAAATAGTTTCACAAACATAACTGTGGTGGCGGACTAATTGCAAACAGACAGGAAGTTGTCCCAAACAGACTCTATGTGATTGTACAAATTTAAGAAAATATGACATTTTAAATAATTTAAAAGTTTTATTCATGAATTTTAATATATTATACATTTTATTAAAAATGAAATTTATTTATAGCTTTTATAAAGTGAGCACTATAGAAGTGATTATTTTTATCAAAGTCACTAAATGGTTTAAACCAGTAATAAAATAGTCAAATGAAATACATTTCTCATTTCAAATTTTGGTTTCATCCTTGCTTGCCCTTCATTTTAGGAAAAAATATTACGTCCGGAGTCCAGACGCTGGCTGTGTTTCGCCCATCGGAGGTTGTTTTTCTTTTCTTATGCTCCTTTTAGTTGTTCGAAGGTACCATGAAAATGTAATGAGAGAGAGAGAGAGAGAGAGAGAGAGAGAGAGAGAGAGAGAGAGAGAGAGAGAGAGAGAGAGAGAGAGAGAGAGAGAGAGAGAGAGAGAGACCTCTACACTTGAGAATGGACCTCTCAATCTTCTTTGCACAACCAACGCAGTGCAAATCAACGAAAAGAACAATTGGAGGAGGAGGTGAGGGAGAAGAGGACTTCACCTCTTCCTTCTTCTCCTCTTTCTCCCCCGCGGCTGCTTTCTCTTCCTGTTTAGGCGCTTCAGAAACCTTAGCTTCTGCCTGAACATTGAAATTTTACAAAACAAAATTATCCACAAAATGGAATATTTTAATCAACTAACAATCTCAAATCCACATAACAATGATATAGACACACACACTCTCTCTCTACCTCTTTGGCTTCTTCACCCATTGGAATCGTTGAATAAAAAGCAATAAAAAGCAAGTGGGACTAAAACAATTCTCCTAACAAGCTTCTTATATAGCTGCAACTCTGAAGAGAGAGTGTGGCAGCTTTTAGCTGAAATTTTTGCTTAATGGAGATCTATGTTAGGGTTTAGGCACATGGAGCACCACTATCTTGAAGCTTAACAATGGAGGGAACCTCGAGATCAACGATTATGCATAACTAATCAAAGGCTTATGTGTTTTTGTTTTTCTCTCAAAAGGTGGAGGAAGAAGAGGGAGTTGTGGAGAACAAAGATGGGGTATTTATTGAGCTTGCTAGGTAGTAGGAAGGAGGCAAAAGAAAAGGAAAAGGGATTAATAAAGAGGTTTTTTTTTAAAAGTTGAATCTTTTAAAAATGAGAGAACTCTCTAGAAATTGTTGACATGGCTTTGAATAAGGAATAATTCAGTGATTTATACTTTTATTTTATGAGAGATTTATATGTATGTCAGATCATTTTCTAGTATGATATGATACCGAAAATTTGATATTTATTTTTATAACATTTATGTTATGAATCTATACATGAAACTGTATATTTCATTAATGTAAGGTAGTAGTATCTGTATTTTTAATGTGATGTTTATGATTTGAGTATGATGCATTTACATATATACGTTCTAAGTGGTAGATGCCTAAGTATATAAGTTGCGTGACACTTATTGTTATTCTTGAGGTCATGAGTTTGAATCCTTACTCTTCAACTCAGTTGTTATTTTAACAAACAAATATTATTAAGTGCCACTTGTATCAAAGCCCTTTTTTTTTAGGAAAATTTTAGTGAATTTAATTACAAACACATGCGAACCACATAAACGAGGCATTGAACCTAAGGACCTTTTTGGCTAAATGAGCAAACTCTCAACCAACAAGCTAAGGTTACTTACATTATCAAAAGGTTTGTTGTTTCTATATGTATTTCTCTGCAACAAGCTTTATGCTTTCCTTTAGCATTTATATGGGGACGAATTATTATCCTTTAAAAAAGAAAAAAAAACATGACTTTAGTTCATTTTTTAAGGAAAAATACATTTTTACTTTTGTGGGTGAAAGTCATGAGGTATTTGGTGGGGAAGGGAATATTTGAATTTGTATCATCCATGCTTTCAAAAGGGATGACTAAGCCACATGGTAGGGTTGGTTGTGTGGACCTTTGTGGCAGCTAACTAGCAATGAACTTGGCAACCAATAGATATCATATATCTTATCCTTTATTATACATTTTGAAGTCGGTTGGGGATTCCTTTTTTTTTTCTTGAGATTACTTCAATCAAAGGTGTGGATGAGGGTGATATGGAAATATCAATCAAAATATTTGTGTCAGTTCATGTGATAATGATCTTAGGCTTCAAAATATAGAAAATAAGTATTTGAGCAAGTTTTTTAAGGAATAAAATGTAGCATGGAAAAGTTCTTTAGGCCAAACTTCACATAAGATCTTTTGGCTATTGATTAATTTCTATATTGTATCTAATAGTCATTGTTGTTTTTTTGACCAGTTTATTTAGAGTTGTTTGGGATCATTTTTTATATCTTGTATTTTTTTTTTAAATATTTTTATTTGCATTGTTAATTGATTTTACTTTTTTAAAAAAATTAAGCTTTTTTTGAAAGTTATTGAAATGTTATGTTGTTGTCATCCATCATCATCACCCATCATCATCTTCGCCCTTTATCTCGAGAAAAATTATGTCCGGACGTGCGGATGTTTGGATAACAACTCATGGGGCGTCACATCATCTCCAACTCAATGAAGTTGTGCCTCCATAATTAGCTCTCCGAACGTAATATTTTCTATTATCTCATAGCTTGTACAATATTCATTAAAGCAAAAAAAAAAAACACTTATTTGAAATATTAATTAATATATTATCATTTTCCTATTAACAATAAAAAAACAAAAAATATAAGAAAAATAACTTAATCCCATATAGTCCCTTAATAATGTATCTATATAAATTAATTTATTTAATAACTATTTTAAAACAGTTGTAATCAAATCTGTTTTTCTAATAAACATATATATATATATATATATATATCTCTTGGATGAGTAGTATTTTTAAAAAATTTAGTTGAATGCAAGGCTACAAAGATTTATAATTAATTAAAAGTATTAATTAAGAAAATAGAATAAAAAACATTAAATTAATTTCAAATGATGTTTTAATATAAACAATAATTTTTAAATCGCCCCAATCATTAACATCTTATGGCTACCTGATTAGGGTTGTCAAAATGACTCTTTGTTCGTGAACGGTTGCTAGCTAAGCAAACGAGCCGAACACAAATACACTTTTTGAGCTCGAAATATAAATCAGTTGAACACGAGCTGAGTATGGCTGTCACCTCTCATGAACTGCAATAAAATATATAAAGAAAATTGATTAGCAAATAGAATAGGTCAAATTAAGTGATTCTATATGTTTTGGAATTGGTTTCCCTAATTTAATCGAATGATGAAGAATATTATACATGCAGTGAAGAGGAGGAGGGACACGGTTCTTTGAACAAGTTCTTCTTGTTCTCTTCAGCCTGCCTGTACTGGTTTAAAATCTCCAATCAGTACATAGATTCCTGCGTATATCCAATTTATATCAATTATGGGTGTCGTCGTTTGAGCAACTCATCGGACACAGTAAAGGCCATTATGGGTGTTAAATTGGTAGAAGATGTTGTGAAATTTAGGGTGAAACAACGCAAAATTAGAAGAAGAACACAGAGATTTAACGAAGTTCGGCAAAGATGCCTACATCCTCAGGAGCAGAGCGGCGAATTCACTATTTCAGAGGAGTTACATACTCATAGGGTTA